TGGCGCCCCTGTTCCCCTCCTCACAATCATGTGGCCACCATGTCTGCCCAGAGCCAGCCTGGGCCTATCCGCGGCTGGACTCTGGGGACTCCCTGAGCTCCACTCTGTCTATCCTGGACCCTGGTTCTTTGGTCCTGCATTAATTCAAGAAGAGTTGTTTATTTGAAGCAACAGGGAAGGCGTTCCCACAGTCCCTACCATCCTGGACCAGCGACTCCACCCATGCCTCGTCTGGAATTAAGCCTGAGGGCAGCGGCAGCACAGAGGGGCCACAAAGAGAGGGTCCTGGGTTCTCCTGGATGGGAACTCCCTGGGAACTTGAATTACTGCCAACCACTCGGGAACCTGAGCCACTGCCAACCAGAGGCAAAGTGCAGAGGCAGGCACAGAACGGTCATGGGCCAGATGGGGGCCCTGCCGGCCCGCCAAGCCCAGCCCCACAGTCCAGCTTCACGGCCACCTGGCCCCCACGGAACGTGGAGACCCGCCGGGAGTTCCCAACAGGCGGTGCAGGCTCACAGCCGGTCCCGCCCCCGCGCCGAGGGAGCGCAGTGACCACCGGGGAGGGGACATCGTACGCACTGCCACCTCCCTGGACCCCGCGCAGCCCCGCTGGTCGGGTTTCCCGTGGCCGCCGCGCGACCTCGCCTGCGGTGCCAGCCCTCCGGCTCCGAGCGCCCGCCGCCCGCGATAGAGAGGACCAGCGTTCGCAGCCCGGGCCAGGCTCGCCCTGACGGCGCCCCGCTGCGCCCCAAGCCTCGCCGCTGCGGAGACACCAGTGCCCGGCTCCGCTGCGACCCCGCCCCGGCCCGGACGTACGCGTACCCATGGTGGCGGCTCCAAAGGATCCTTGCGACTGGCGAGTAGGAGTCCTGGCGGGAGGACTTTCTGCAAAGGTGTTGCTCCTTGACTTTGTTTCCAGGCCCTGCCCAACCAGCCACCTGCGCGCTGGAGGTGTGAGAGGCGGGGCTAGTCCGGCCCCACCCTCGGAGGTGGCGGCGCAGCAGGGACCGGAGGTTAGCGCCGGGGGGCCCCGCTGACCCGCCTCCCTGGCCCTTGGCAGGGCGGAGGCACAGCTGCAGGTGACAGGGACGGCAGGGGTCACCCCTGGCCAGTGACTCGCCCACGTGATCGCTCATTAGCCACCTGGAGGGCTGTAAAAACAGATTCCCAGACCCCACCCCCAGATTCACTGACTCGGTAGTTCGGGACTGAGGCCTGAGCCCTTGCATTTCCAACCGGGTAAGGTGACGATGCGGCTGCTCCAGAGACAGCGCGGTGCAAAGTCCTGAGCTAGGAGCACACTGCTTCCGCCGGCTGCTCACGGGCGCGTGCGTGTGCGTGTGCCGGTGTCCTGTGTGGTTTTACTTGAAGACTGAACAGATGAACGCACTTCTGGAGAAGTCCAACTTTGCTTTCTCCAAGACTAAAGAAAATAAAAATAAAAACATACAGCAGTTATACCTAGATCGTTTTTCTGCTTTAAGACCTTAGGAGGTTTGTGCTCTGCAAACACTGAGCCCAACGCCCCAAAGGGAAATAAAGGGAAGTTTCTATTGTCTTTAAAAAAAAATCATTGTGAAATACACATAAAATTGACCACTTAACTGTTGGGTACAGGTCAGTGGCACCAAGCACATTCACACTGCACCCCAACACCCCCCCCAAACCACTAACTAGGAACGCCCTTCTCTGTTCCCTAGCCCCTGGAAACCACTATTCAACTTTCTGTCTATTCTAGGGACCATGTATGAGTGGAATTGTTTAATATTTGTCCTTTTGGACTGGCTTATTTAGCATCATGTCCTCAAGGTTTATCTATGTTGTACCATGTGTCAGAATGTCCTTCCTTCTTTTTTAATTTTTAAAATGTATTCATGGTAGAATACGAGAAAGAGCGCGAGAGAGCAACACCCTCTCTGGGATTTGGTCACCCTGCCATCCCTCTCTTTGGTCCTCCAGCTTGTCAGACCTTGGGGACTTGTGTCAGGTGTGATTTTCAGGTTGCCTGGATTGGGGATTCGAACCATGGTCATTAAGTGGGATCGGGTTCTCTTGAGCAGCGCATTACTGTGGTGCTACAGAGCCGGGCTTTCCTTCCTTTTCAAAGGGTGAAGAATCTTCTGTCATACGATACGCCACACTTTGCTAATCCATTCCTTGTCTATGTTCTCGCTCTTTCTCTTTTTATTTTAAGAGAGATTTTTGCTATAGGGCACGTGCACTTGCCAGAGAGATAGCAACAGTGAGATAGAAAGCGAGAAATTACCCTCCAGGGGGTTGGCCACGTTGCAATTTCTTCTCCTCCATTCTCCTCTCGGGATCTTGGGCATGCATACACACTTCCCTGGTGTAAGTGTTAGGCTGCTGGTCTAGGACTCGAAGTGCGGTCAACTATGTGAAAGTCTAGTGATATAACCATTACACCCTCTGCTGGTCTCTCGCCAGCTCCCCCAGCTGTGCCATCTGGAGACTGGGGTGCGTGGGGATAAATGGAGCCAGCTCTTTCCCAGAGGCAGCTGGACCAGCTCTTCTCCGGCTTCCTTGGTGAGTATGAGTAGGAAAAAAACCCTCATGTTTGTTTAACTGATGCCTACAGGGTAGCAGTTACAGTGACCTCAGGCATGGAGGCCACCAGTAATGGCCGTGCATGAGGTGGGAGAGTAAAACAGCGGCTGAAGGAAAGACGAGCATGCCCTCATGGAGGTGCTGGCAGCACTGGAGTCATTATTGCCTGGCCATCAGATAACCCCGGGGTGGAAAGGTGAAGCTCCTGATGGTTTTTGTGATCAAAGTTTTCTCCACAGAGAGCTTTGAACCTTGGAATCCTGAGCCCCATAAACACACTGTTCTGGGCAAGCGGCTCTCAGGGTGTGGTCCCCTGCCTAGCTGCACCAGCCTCCCCTGGGACTTGGGAGTCTTCCCCCATTCTGCCACTGCCGCTCAGGCCTACTAAATGGGCAGCTCTGGGGCAGCTGTAGCAGGCTTCTTGGTAGCCTCATGGCTATTTTATCGCATGCTCATTTAATCTTCCATTCCAGCGTTATTTTCTTTATCACCTCCACATGCAAACTACCGTGCTAGTGACAGACCACCGGGCAGCCTTGGAGACAAGGAGACAGCCCTGCACGCACTCGGATCTTTTCAGCCTGGCGAGAAGGGGCAAGTTACTCAAGACAGAGACACATGAGGGAAGTGCCAAAGTGGAGCCGGCAGAAGTGGTCAGCCCTCTCATCCTGAGCAGACCAGCCCATCGTGTGAAACCACTACAGTTCCCAGGAAGGCCCAGGCTTGGAGGCCAGGCATTCCTCACTGGGCACACTGTG